ATGTGATCTTTTTTTCTGGGGCAAATACCTGTAAGGTTCATGAGATTCCAAAAAGAGCCAAGAACCAGAAAAAGTGCAAGGCCTGGGCAAGAACCCAGGGCAGCAAGGCATAATAAACACGAAAGTACTCATTCCAGAGTCCCTTCAGTACTAAGAATAAATTTGCCTGGATCTTTTTAGGAATACACCTTTCATAAAGCAACCTCTTTTTATACATTGTTAGTGGTTTGGAGTTGCTGGTTTCCTCCTACATTATTTTAGAAAGTTCAGTAACATTCTTACATTATCTCTCACTCCCAGAAGCTTTTAAATACATAAATGGTACAGAGCCCACAAACCCAGAGCAGCCACCTTCCATTGAAACAGACCCACAGCCCTCCTAGGGAAACGAAAGTGCACAATGGATCAGGCTGATTACTGAAGGGAACCAGAATCAGATGAAAAGCCAAGGAAACCTGGCTGCACCTAACTGCTCCAGATGCCCTGTTATCAGACATTATTGTAAACACCAGGCTGACCACCAAGCAAGTCTGAACATAAATTCAGTGACCTCCGGGGTCTAAGAACTTGGTTTGAGAATCCATTTTCTTCCTAGAGATTGCCTGCCCAAAATTAACATAAAAATCAATTATTTAGTGTAATAAAGAATGTTTTGCTTTTGTGGGTGCCAGGTAGAACTCTTGATAAAAACTTCCATGGCAGGAGGAAAGAAAGAACAGTCATTAAATAACTGATAGAACACTTTTAAATGAGGGATGTCTAGTAGATGCCTGAGATGCACGTTAAAAGGGGGGGGGGGTCTTCCATTACAACAGATTCAGAAATAGAGAAATGACAGGAGTTTCTCCTGTAAAATCTATTACTAAACTGAAATTAATATTCCAACTAACACATGGTCTGTCAAATCAGAATGTCAAAAAACACCATTTCTCAACTCTTTTAAGATACAGGTGATGGTTTATGAAGTAATGATGATTAGCTCCTTGGCCCAGCAAGAAGGCTGGTGAGGTGTTACATTCCAAGCAGGTTCTAGCACCTTTGCTGAGCTAAGGGATAGTGTGCTTATGTTTAAGTTGCAGATCTGAATTCTTGATGAGGTATGTTTTCCTAGCTCAAAACTTACAAAACCAAAGGAAATACAGGCAGAGTCTGAAAACGCAAACTCCCTTCTAGACGTCTGTGAAATCCCACAATAAATTTTCATTTTATATCTTGTAGAATTTTTGCAGTAAGATTTAGAGACCACATACCTGCATGTTATCTTCAAGCAAATGGAGGAAATACAGAGAAAAAGAACCAATGAGGTGTGGATAAACAACAGGCAAAACAGCTATGGGAGTTCTTGCAACTTTCCTCTGAAGTTTGTTACAATACAGAGAGTGTTAAAAAAAAATTCCTCCGAAGTTGCTGGTCAAAGGTATTTTGTTAAATAAACAAAACAAACAAAAAATCCACAAGTGACTGTCAATCTTATTTTCCTAAGACCAGTTCCAGCTCATTCTTTCTGTAACAGTAATAGTGACCAAAGCAAAGATTTAATTTTACAATAGATGACATGGAGTTATGTGGGTTTGAGCTTATTAGAAATCTGGAATAAATATCAAGGCTCTTAGATTGTAGAAAAATGCTAGAAAACCAATCTTGATTTACTAGCTACTCTGTTTTTAAGGAGACATTCTTTTATGTACTCAATAAAAGCAAGTGAAAGATGAAAGGAAGAGAATGTTCTAGGAACAAAGGAATTTCTAGCTTTAGTTTTAAAGTATTAACACTCAAGAAGATCTCTGTCCATTTTATCCTCTATTTTTAAAGGTCAAAGTTCACTAATAAAGAAATCTGCATACCATGATCCTACCATGCTGGTCAGTAAATATTTTAAAGATGTGATCAAGACATGACATTTTGTTCCATGAGAAAATCCTTGAAAAAAGGAGGCACCAAAGCAGTAAACAACCTTCAAAGGAGCAGATTAGTCATTAAATTGATTCAACTGAGAAACAGTGAAGACCAGATTATGGTAGTCCCAAGCCTTTTCTAAGTACTGGACCTCCAAATAAGGGAGAAAGTTCTATGAATTTCAAACAGATGGCAAAATTTAACAACACACTTCAGGCACTTTGTTTGGATACAGACTTAATAAATATTTCAATCATTCATAAAAGCCTAAGAAAATCCTTCTGCCAGAGATCAGGCTGCCCTCCTTTGAAAAAATCTCCTACAGGGAACAATCTTCTGTAGAAAAGGGTGAAGCAGCACGTTTGGAGATTTTCAGCAACATGGATACCTACGTGAGATAAATGAGCTCACTAGTTCACCCTAGTTTTTTACACAGATCACGTCTTTCAGTAAATTAGTGAAAGAGCTTTTTGAGTAGATATCCTAAGCATCAGGAAGCAATTCTGAAAACAAAAAAGGAGTAAAATCTAAGAGTCAGTAGGGGTCATAAGCCACCAGGCCCTACACGGAGCTGGGTGCTCGCCTGCAGGGTAGCAACAAAGGATTGCTGGGGCAACTCAGACACATTCCACTGATGGAGGCTAGGGGTCATCTGCAGAGCTCTGAGAGGCAGGGAACCCAGTGAAAGGCCTAGGAGAGAGCCTGAAATCGCCACTCACTCCTGGTGGGCCTAAGATCGCCCTGATCTTCAGTTACTGGCACAAAAAACATTTTCCCTTTTCCATCTTATGGCAGGTGTGTGTGTATTTGCTTGTCACTATGTCCCCAGCCTGACACCTGACACAATTACATTTACTCATTCTTTGTCTTCTGTGTTTAAATGTGTCACAAGAACAGGAACCCTCATGACTGTATCGTCGCAAACAGAGAGGGATGGCACAAGGCAGGCCTCAATGGACGTTTACAGAGTGAATGGAAACAAGAATGACTGTCTATTCACGGGCTCTCCCCAGACTTATGACATAGAAACAGGTAAAGATTCCAAAGTGGAACACCAAACTATAGTGAAAACAAAGGAGGTAACACTGAACACTCCAGGATGAGGGTATTGGCACCAATTCTCCCAAACTGCACGCTCATGGAAAATGTAAATAATCAATACTAAATTTCTTCCCAAATCTATGTTCTAATATGACTAATTCCAAAAGGTACTCTGTGAACAATGAACTTTTCTAGTCTCTGTAACAAAGATTCTTATCTACGGTAAAGGCCACAGACAGGTTTTAAGTTTACTCAAAAATATCAGAGGGGTGGAAATATTTATAGGTTACGTACCTGGCAAAGGACTAGTATCTACAGTATATAAAGAACTCTCAAAACTCAAACTTATAAAAAAATCCAATTTAAAAGTGGGTAAATATGAGCAGGCATTTCACTGAAGAGAATTCACAGATGAGACACACGATTAGAATACAAATTAAAACCACAGAGACAGTACTGCACACAACTATCAGAATGGCTGAAATAAAAGAGTGGTGGGCCCTCCCTGGTGGTGCATGAGGTTAAGACACAGCACTGTAAGCGAGCAGCTGCCCCTTCAGTGCAAGTTTGATCCCCATCCCGGAGGTGACCCACATGGCGCAGCAGACCTCTGCTGACCAGCCTGCTGCTCCCCTCAGCAGTGTACTTCGTCCATCTGCCTGTTCTGCTCTCCACTCTGTCTGCGGTGAATCCTCTCACTGTCCCTGTGCCTCTGGTCTGTACCCCTGTTCTGTATGCATACATAAATAAACCTTAAAAAAAAAAATAGCGGTAACACCAAACGCTGGCAAGGAAACCCAGGAACTGGATCACTCGCACGTTTTTGGTAAGAACTGAAAAACATTGCAGCCACTTGGGAAACAGGTTGGCAGTTTCTTATGGGGAAGAAAGCAAAACCAAACCAAACATGATTATTATATTTTCCAGAGAAAATGTGTACACAAAAACCTGTACACGAATGGTTGTAGTAGCTCTATCTGTAACAGGTAAGAATGGGAATCAGCCCAGACAGCCTTCAACAGGTGTATAGTTAAGCTATGCTACCTCTAACATGGAATACCACTCAGTTATAAAAATGAACAAACTAATGACACACACAGAGCAATTTAGATGAATTTCCAGGGAGCTGTACTGAGAAAAGTCAATCTTAAAAGGTTATGCAGTTTCATTTACATAACATTTTTGAAAAGACAACATTTTAGCAACAGAGTACAGATTAGAGGTCACCAGGAATTAGGGCTGGGTTGGGAGTGAGGCTGAAATTGTCCAGTAAATCTTGATTGTGCCAGAATCAGGAATCTACATGACTGACTGTTATTCTGCAAAATGCTGCCACTGGGGAAAACTTAAGAGAAGAATACAGGGAACTGTATGATTTCTTAAAACTGCATTTGAGTCCACTGTTACCTCGAGTGAACAGCAGTTATGGATTGGGTGAGTCCAAAGGTGTGCAGCTTTCTCACTGAGAACATGGTTCTGTACCTGCTTCACTCAGCGAGTACTGCTGAGTATTTGCATACATATGTTCTCTCTCACACATTCATGAAAACTAGAGAGCTTAAGGTCCAGAGTCTTCTAATAGCGTGATCTATTATAAAGTCACACAGTAAGTGCCTGAGTAAAAAGTTAGGCTCCTCAATTGCTCCCGCAATAACACATCACCTCCGACATCCAGGCTACCCAAGTGGCATAAAGGGACAATTGAGGAAAATAAATCATGTTACGGGAATTGAAATTTCAGTTTTCTGGAGCCCCTTATAACAGAAACCTAAGTGGTTTAAATGGCACTAAAGAGGGAGAGAAATTGCAGAATAACGTATCTAATATAATGCCATAATTTGAAAAAGACAACCCACAAAATAAGTATGTCTCTAGGTATAAATATCTGGGAGGCCATATAAACTGTTCATAGTTGTCGCAGTTGGTAAAACGAAGGTAAAGGATGCACACTTGTCCAAAAGTATTTGGACTGTAATCAATGTTTGAATTGAAGAGTGAATTCCAATTCAAGTATAATTTGTCTATTTTTTTTTAAGAAGGGGGGAAATAAAGCAAACACTTACTGCATTCATAGATCTGTTCCAGTTTATCCACAGAAGAAAGGGAGAAAAATTTATAACCGGACTTACTACCAACAGCTAGGGACCTGCAAAAGAGCCAAATTTAGAAATAAGAGCTGAGACATGTAGACAGTGATAAAGTACAAACTAGCTTCATGTCACCAAATAGTAACCTTCACCACTATCAAAAGTAAGCAGGCAAATAATTTCAGGTATACCAGGTGAATGGGAGCTGAATGGAAAAGAAGAATGTGGAAGAGGCCATGTCGCACAGCTACAAAAAGGTGATGGTCAAAAATATAGACAATAGTCTCACTTAGAATTTATAGAATGTTAAGTCTGGTATGATAAAAATAATTAGCCCTAAGTCAATGATTTGCCTCAAAACAAACTGGGGTTTTCCAGGTGCTTTAATACACATACACAGCAGGAAAGTCCAAAAGTAAGTTAACATTCTAAATTTTAATTCACAACTAGGTGGGTGAGACCTTTCTGCATTTCAAATGCAGTCATTCACTCATGCTGTGCCATGGCTGAGCAGTGGGGCAGAAGTAAGGCTAGCCAAAAGCAGCCAATTAGAGCCCAGATCAGAAGACACAGTTGGCTTAGGAGGAGAAAGGTGAAAGTTCAGTTCTCGTGGTATCATCTGTAAAATTTTTTTCATCACCCAACATCCTACTTCTGTGAAGAGGCTTGAAGGACCCCAAGAGTTCTCCAGGTTCTCCTGGCACAGGAGGGCTGTGATACTAACAAGTACTTCCCTCATCAGATCATTCCTCTCCTGAGGTGACTGACCAAGTGTGAAAAATAAGAAGTGTTACAAAACAGAAAAAAGGAGAGAGAAAAAAGGGAGGCAGCAGAGGGCTATGGAGATTCAGATGGTGGAATCTATATTTAACGTTGGGGAGAAGATTAAAAACCAGTGGTGTCAGGGGTGAACCAGGAGACTAGAAACAAGGAAGACAGGTATTTCTTAGCTGGCGATAAGAGGATTTGTTTATTTCCTATCTGGAAACGGCCAGGATTGTACACCAGGTAAAAATGATGGCAATTCTAATGATCATGTCATCTATTTAAAACTTGTGATTTCCAATCTCTCTTTCACACATTATGTAGAAGAATATTCCCAGAGCAGAGTTGCTAAAAGCACTTCTAAAATTTTAAACTGTAAAAAACTGGTTCTTCCTAACAGAAACAAAACTACCAACTCATAATTTTTCTTTGTAAAAACACTTCACTGCACTGAATCCTACCGATGGAGTAATTTGGTATTACCTGTAGTATTTGGAAAAGTAATAAGAGAAAAACCAGGAAGGCTAAAAAGAAAATCTTAGTAATCCACAACTTTTGGGAAATCAATATTTAGAAAAATGTTTTCAAGCAACAATCCTTTTCTTCCATATCAGTAAAAAAAAAACTATTCTTATATACTATTCTGTATTTTTAAAACAAAGGGGTGGGTATTTTCCCAAACTCAAATCAAGTGACCAATTACTCCAAGGTAATACAGTGATCCTCTCAAACCTAACAAGTAGCTAAGGGTTTCGATACCTACATCAAACGACTAGATGCAGTGCTGACAGTTGCTGCTCGACCTTGTGACCATGGTTAACAGCCCCTCCTCCTTTCTAACCCCTCACTGACTTGGACATCAAATCACCAATCTTATTAGTATGTGGAAAATAAGTTTAGTCAGGGCAAAAGTTCATGATCCTTGGTTTTGATTTTAATCTGTGTTCCAAACAGAATTTATTAAAAATGGGTTTTACTGATGGAACATGTTTTTCTAGACATAAAGAAACTAATTTGGGATCTTAAAACATGTCAGCTAGAGTTTTAATCCTATGGACTAAAAAACAGTTCACTGAAATTGGTATGTGAACAAAACTATTCCAATTATTTTAAAAGGTTCGTATGTATTTTATCAGCAAAAGTAGACAATTTTAAAGTATGTGATACACATAAATAGGTTTGATATTTCTATTCCAAATATGAACAACCAGGTTCACATATTCCTCTGGAGATTCTACTTTTAATAATTTCCCATGAGGACCTCCCTAGTGGTGTAAGGGGTAAGTCTTAGCACTATGAAGCTATTCATAGCCACTGCAGCATGAGTTCCGTCCCTGGCCAGGGAGCTGACCCACATGGCGCAGTGCTCCTGTCTCACCTGCTGTTCCCCTCAGCAGTGTATTTCAGTAGATCTGCTTGTTCTGCTCCCCACTCTGTCTCTGGTGAACCCGCTCACACTCCTGCACCTCTGCTCTATATCCCAGCTCTTGTACACATAGTCTTAAAAAAAAAAAAAAAAATCCCATGATCCACCAGTCTACACAATGGCAGGCATATTAATGTGAGAAACCTGGTAACAGTATGGAGTCTCATAATAATCTTATTTCTCAATAAACATTCACTCAATAACATGCTTTTTTTTTTAATTTATTCATTTGTGCATACAGAACTGGGATACAGGCCAGAGGCTCAGGGGCGGCAAGAGGCTTCACCATAGACAGAGCAGGGAGCAGAACAGGCAGATCAACGAAGTACACTGCTGAGGGGCAGCGGGCGGGTCAGGAGAGGTCTGCCACACCATGTGGTCACCTCCAGTGTAGGCGGGAATAGAACTCATGCGTAAGTGGCTTTAGCTTCTCAGTGCTGTGCTTTAACCCGCTGCGCCACCAGGGAGGGTCAACATGCATTTTTTTAAAGGGAATAAGAGAGCTCTTACTGACAGAGGGGAAAGCGAGCAAACCATAGCAGAAAAACAGTATTATTTATTTAATCCCCCATTTCATTACTATCCTCCTGCCTTCAACTGCTTGGTGTCAAAACTCAAGAGACCCTTGGTTGGGAGAGGAGAGTGACTGACTGCTTTGGAAATGTATGCTGAGCCAATCCTCTTTATTTTCATCACAGACACTCCTTATTCCACTTTTAGAGCTTCCTTAGACTGCCAATTCTCAACATTCTTGAGATTCTGCAGTTGAAACTAAGTGGGTTCTCTGCTTTTTCCACTAGCAATTTAGGATCCACTTTTCTGTAGTACTTGGTAGTTCCCAAAATTTTGTTGCTGGTGTCTTATTTCTCATTCTTCCATTGAATGGCTTATCTTTTTGTTATTTTTAGTGACTGATCTTTTACTAGGGTTTTGGGAAGACAAAATAAATGCTTGATCCACCACCTATGACTGTAAAATCTGTCCTGAATTTAAACTTGGGTTTTCAATATCTGAAAGATGGGGAGTTCTACCAAAAAAGGAAAATGACTCAGTTTTGTTAACCCCCCCCCTTTTATTTATCCTCTTGCCAATGATTAGCAGAGAAAGGTTTTCCCTTTTCATTATCTTAATCATGAAAGAGCCACTATATATTACAGGTTTAAGTGGAAAAGGTCCACACCCATTGAAGGAAGCAACTGAAGTGCTTCCTTCCAGCCCACATGGTTTCCATCCCAGACCTCCATGTGTGCATCCCTGGGGCATTCCGATCTCAACGGTAGCAAAAGCACGGTTCATCTTTCCCCCAAAACGGAATCTGCCACTGTTGGCACTATTCATTTAGCATCCTAGCCAGCACCTTAAGGGAGTAACCTTAACCTCTAACTTAAGTGCATCATGCCTACCTCTGGGCCCACCAAGTCCTGGGGGCTAACCACTCCCCTTTCCACCGGCCCCTGCTACTGGACAACCTCCCAGTAACTGTCCTGCCTCCTCACTCAGATCTCCTCTACAGATGGTAGAATGAACTAAAATTTTAAGGTTGAAGGGTCCTTAAAATCTACTCCCAGGCCCCTCAATTTACAGATAAGGCAAAGGAGGACAGAGAATGACCAACTTAGAATAATAACTAATTTAGCAGAAGCTCAGTGAAGAGAGCAATCAAGTCAATAAGGTCCTCCTTATTGTTTCTACATCTTAACTCTTCTACACTGAAACATCAATTCTACAAATAGATTTGGACAATCAAATCCTTCTTTATTCTATCCCTTTTAGAGATATAAATCAAAAGAGACATTGCCAAAACACTGACGTTCCACAAACGAAGTAAATAAAAACTGGTAGAATTTGGTTCCTGGTTATTTCCATGGAAGAGTCAATCAAACAATACTCTGCCACTTAATAATTTGTTAACTGCAATTTCAAAAAGCCAAGAATGCCTCCACAATAGGCCTTCCAAAGTACTACTTTCAGAAACTAGGACTGGAATTAACCAGTCAATAGCGAGATGCCAGAGAACTGCTGTTCCTGGAGCTCTTTCACTGCTCTAGTTAAAAAAATAAAACAAAAGGTAAAACAAACATACAAAATGTATAATAAACAAACAAACAAAAAAAGCCACAACATCTGAAATCATATTAACAGCACAAGAAGAAAGGCAGGATAGATGTACTATGTTTACACAAGAATAATCTGTCTTAGGCATCACTTTATAACCTACATGTACTCTATTGGATAACAGCTTCAAGGTTTTCTTCACTGAATACACACTATGCCTTATGAAGAATTATTTTTCTATTAAAATAAATCCTAGGGATGAGGGAGAGAGAAAGGTATGAACAGTAAAGCCTTTTCCAGGAACTTTTGTGTATTTCAAATGCAGAATTATGACAAATTAATCATTTTAATAAAAAATATACCTCTTACAGTCACACGGCATTTTGATTGTGGAAAGTCAAAATTATGACACAGAAATTTTCTCTTGAAAAAATAACCTGAGGACTCTCAGAGGAGTTGGGAAGCACGTGATTTCCAAATGTGAAAGGGTCTTATTTCAGGCCAGAGTAACATTCTTTTATTATTTAAGGAAGATGGTAGTTTATTTGAAATAACAGCAAAAGAGAAAGCTTTCCTACATTTAACTTCCTTTCACTATGAATAGTGAAAAACTGAAAGACAGAAAACATACTGGAAATTCTTTACCTAAGACAAACTATAAAGCTACCATTTCTTGTCAGTTTTCAAAATACTAGGGTTTAAAAACCAAATCACAGTTGGCACAAAATATTCTATTCCTTGTCTGGATTAATACAGTCTATCACAATTTAACAACTTGCAACAGGTTGTTAAACCTGTTCTTGTACTGGTCTTTGGTCACAGAGAACACTAGGGTACTCTGGTAGTTCTGACCTTTAAATATTGTTATAGTATGATTTTTAAATCCACTGTAGGTACCAAAAAAAAAAAAAAGTGGCAGAATGAAGAGAACACTAGAAATGAATTCAGAAAACCTTGATTCTAGTCCACTTCACTATTAGGTAAATCTAAGAGCCAGGCACAGCTCTAAACCTTTCTGAACTAGAGTTTCCTCTATAATAGGGGCAGGTGACCTGCTCCCTCTTAACTCTCAACACAATACCCCTGGTGGGGCTATCTCTAGTTTCACAACTTTGGGAAGGTAGGTGTCAGCACCTGCGCCATGCAGCTGACTCGGTGCTTGCGACTGTACAATTAACTTTTAATTTAAGAAATTTAATTTTCTACTTTGCTGATTCCATTCAGCCAGTAACACCACCACCAAGTACTTAGTATGAAGTCAATAACCCATTCCTTCTCTTACATCACTTCCTCTTACTCACTTCCCAAGATGACTCTCTTCTCTTCCAGTCCCATAACTCATCATTCTTCTCCAGAAACCTCATCTATTAACTATCCTCACTTGTCATGTGAAGAATCGACTTCAAACCCTTATCAGTTTGGACAAAGAGCATTCCAAATCCATGGGTTGGCATCATGGGCCTCTCCTCCCCTAAGGATGGCCCAATCTCTGGGGCACCAAGATTCCTCTGTGTCAATCCCCCTGGCCCAGTTTCTCCCCAGGTCGGAGGCCAGGATTACTGCTAAGTTTGTTTCTTCCTCGGGGAGGACATCAAAGTTACCTGCCAAAAAGAACATGGACACAAGAAGAAAAGGAAACAAAGGCAGGGAAGGAGTCCTAAGACGACGAGGAGTGAGGGGGATTCTAAGACTCGGAGGAGAGGGTTTAGGAAGCAGGGGTAGGCGAGATGCAAGCAAGCAACCCACTCCCACCGCTCCAGAGGCCGCGAAGACAACAGGTCAAGCCACGAAGTTCTGTCCCAACTTTGTGAGAAGTGAGGTCCTCAGGAGAAAGCATTCTCGTCGGTGGGTGCACTGGCTCCCTATTTCCATCCCTTTCCCCGCCCAGAGATGGTCCCGGGAGCTTCCCCGAAAGAGTGACCCTCCCGCACGACCCGGGCCACGGGCACACTGGGCCTTCCACTGGCCGAACTCCGGGCGGGCTAGGGCGGGAAGAGGTGCCCTCCCGGGGCCTGGGCCCCGGCCCACAACCCGGGCCCGCGTCCTCAGCCCCCGCCTCCGTCCCCGCCCCCGGCCCGGCCTTACGTGTTGTCCTGGTTGAAGTTGGCGAAGAGCAGCTGGCCCGCGCCAGCCTCGCCGCTCTGACTCGCCAGGTTCATGGTGGGCGCGCAGAGGGCGGGCGAGCAGGTCGGCCCGGCCGGGGACTCGAGCGCGGGAGGGCGGGTCGGGAGCGCTCAGGGTCGGCGCCGGGTCCCACTAGCCGCCTCAGTGACCGCCACTAGCTGCTCGGGGATCAACCGCCGCCTCATCCCGTCCCCGCTCTTGTTTATCCTCTGGAGCCGGGGCGCCCTACACGCCTGCGCGACCCCGCCCCCTGGACGCACGGCCTGTCACGGCGCAGGCGTACTGCCGAGGTTCCGCCCCTTTACCTCTGTCCTAGGCTGGGGTTCCGGTCGAACACGCGCACGTAAGGGGACGCGCGGGGGCGCGCTGGGTACGCCTTGCGGCGCTTCGAGGACTGCGCACGCGCGTGAAAGAGCAGAGTGGCTCTGTACCGGTCTTGCCCCTCTCCCCCATAATTTTATCAACATTGAAAGGACCCGTGATGTGCGGATCATTGGCTAAATGCTTATGAGCATCGTATATTTGATGTCCGCTGCAACCCTGTGTAGAGGACGTATTCCCATTTTACAGATGTTAATACTGAGGTTCAGAGGTATTAACCAGCCTGTTTGTCAAGTGTTAGGTCTGGTACTGAAAACCACGTTGTTTCTCCAAGGCTCATGCTTTTCGATGGGTGGAAGAAGATACCACCTTAAATTTATTAGGTCATTCAATAATATTTGGGAAGCCTTATTGAGCTAAATAGGTTGAATTTCCTATTACAGTGAAGTTATAGTGGGGAGTTACTTAAACAATTGACACTGGGAAGGGGAGAGACAATGAGAGCACAGAATGAGGTTACTTAATCTCATTTAAGGGAGGAGGTGCTCTGCAATCTTGGAGAAGTCTTCTTGGAGGAGATGAGACATGAAGTTTGAGTAGTAGGTAAGCATCAAAGGGAATGGGAGCATTTTACAAGGTAAAGGTCCCCAGGTGAGAGTGTGGACTATTCAAGAAACTCAATGCTTACTGTGTCTGAGCTGGGTGTAGTATGGTAGATAAAAGATGAGATTTGGCTGGAGACATAGGAGGGGGTCAGATAAAACTGGGTATTAAGATGTTAAGAACATATTGTTTGTGTATAGGGATGTAAACTCCAGCCACAGTCAAGAACACATTGAAAAATTTTGAGGAAAGATTTCTTTTTCCATAAAAAGTGCAGTATTTCACACCCTAAAAGTAATTTGAGATGAATCATACACCTAAATGTGAAAAGATAAATATTAAATCTAAGAGAAAACATCAGGGGTTTTCTCACTTGGGGTAAAGTACACTGGTACTTTAAGAACCACAAATTAAAAAGATGGTTATGATGAGTAATAACCAAACAGATGATGAGCATCTGTTCATCAGAAGCTATCACCAAGAGGTTGAAAAGGCAAGCTTCAGAATGGGATACCTGTACTTGCAAAACATTTTTGGACAAAGAACTTATTTCCAGACTATTTAAAGAGAACTTCTACAAATAATAATTAAAACCAGTTTTTGAATGGGCAAAATACATAAACCCAGGTATATTTCAAGAGGGGGTATCAAAATGGCTTGTGAGCACCTGGAAATATGGTCATCATTAATATTCAGCAAGAAAATGCAGACTAAGGGTTATTGAGACACTAGTAGCCATTTACCAAATTGGATAGAACTAAAACAACTGACATCAAGTATGGAAAATAACACAGAGCAACTGGAACTCTCATATTGAGTAAAAGTCTAAATTGTTAGAACAATTTGGAAACGGTATTTGCTGAAGTTAAATGTGTGAGTCCCTATGACTCAGACATTTCACTTCTAGGTGTAAGCTCAATAGAAATTAATGCATATTTTCCCCTAACAGATAGGTATCAAAATATTCATAACTGCTTTATTCATAATAACCAAAATCTGGAAATAACCTAAGCATTTTTCTTGCAACAGGATGATTAAGTAAATTTTGTAGCATTCATACATACAAAAAATCCTACACAGCAATGAAATGGATGCACACAAATGATCCTCACAGATGTAATATGGAGTGTAATGTGAGTGACACAAAAGAATAAATATGATATCAGTCTATGGATGTTAACACCCACCCTTTTTATACATTTCCTACCCCTTTTCTTGCTTTTTATTTTTATATAGTACTTGTCACCTTCCAATAGACCATATATTGCCCCTTCCCAACTAGGACATGAGAACACAGAAATTTTGTCTGTATTGTTCCCTCTGTTTCTATCACCTAGAATAATGGGAACTTAGCCCCAAAGAACTAACCTCTGGGCCTTCATTCCTAGTGGAGCTGAGACTACTGCCTACTCTCCCATTTTTGCTTCATTACTTTATTATCCGGGTGCTACTGGGAGCCACTGATAGTGTTGTTGGAGAGAAGGCTGGATTTCTGCCAGACAGCTTGACCTACTGTGACTCAGTAATGCGCCCTTGTGTCCCAGCTCACCTGGGAACAACAGGAGTTAACATTCCTAATGAAAGATAGGGAAGGGGCTTCCATCATCGTGTCAGGATTCCTCCAGGTAGCAGGCCTGATGCCAGTCCCAAATCTTCCTCCCTTCATCCACAAATGCTTAGAACATTCCCCAAGTATCCTTATGTGCAACATTCAGAGGTGAGCAATTTTCCCATAGTCAAGTCCCTAAATAAACTCGGGCTAAATAGCTGATCTGGAGAGAGGGGACCCAAGGGCTGGACTGCAAGGGCTGCGGACTGTGCCTTGCAGGAGGCCAGACAGTGGGCGAGAGGCTGGCCATGCAGAACACTGAAGTCAGACAGGCTTTGGGGGGGGGGTGCAGAAAGTTTATTTGTATTTGCACCATGTTCAGCCAAAGACTAGTAGCTCGGAGGTCCCTCTATCCTTTCTCCTGCCAGGATACAACCCTGGGCACACATGCCACCTTTTAGATGGCTTTAAACTCCTGCCATAGAATAGGAGCAGCTTCTTGATCAGTCAGTGTTCAAAGCTCTGATGAGCCCCTGTGCTGGACGTCCCGTTTGGAGGGGCTGGATGCCATGTGGAAAATGTCTATCAGACTGCTGTGTGTGTGTGTGTGTGTGTGTGTGCACCCAACCAGGTGCAGCTTCCGGACCCCAGCGTGGTCTATGATCCAGGAGGGGTCTTCTTGGCCGTCTCTTGCTCACATTTCTAGAGGCTCTGCGATCTCCACCGGGATTTGGAAGATCTCTCTTTTGGCATGGAGTTTCAAAGCTGGTTCCCCAAGAAGCCTTTCCCTTCAGGCACATCAGCTGAGCTCCTTAGCCTGCGGGCTGCCTCTCCTGCTTTGCAGAGCCTAGCGCCACCTCCTGAGCTAGGCTGGGGGCTGACATTTCTGGGAGCTACACACGGGCTTTACACACGCGTTTGCGGAGGAGGTGGGTACAGCACACATGCGTGTGCCCAGGTGTGCATCAGGAGTGAAGGGTGTGGAGCGGCAGCCTCTCCAAGCTTGCCCTCAGCGGGTGAGGGGTGAGCTCAGGACCCCTGGGGCCTCAGAGTTGTCAGCAGAGGCCGGTTGCGGTCCTGTCCTGTGAGTGCTGGGTGTCCACCAGCCGCATGGACCCCGCTAGAACTTCGGCAACTTGTGCTGGGTGATGAGAAGCACCAGCGCCCGCCCCTCCCAGAGTGAAACCCACACTGAGTTTGGGGCAGCCCCATCTTCTCGGCGGTGCCAGTCCTGGGTAGAGTCTCCACCGCATGGCACTGGGCTGATGCGGGGGTGGGGCTAGGGCGGTAGTGACTCAAAACCTGCAACCACAGACTCTCACTTTTACAGAGGTTTAGTAGATTTTCTTGAAGGAGTGTTTCTCTATTTGGTGCATGTCATTATACTCATTTCCAGACTTTGAATGACTGGATTTGAGTGTTTTCGCCAGTTGAGTTGGTGTTTTGCTGCGGAGCAGATCTGTCATTATGCGAGCTCTATCTCTGTACCTTGGTTTCCACTAACTGCTGCAACCAGGGAGCATCTCTAGGTCATTAATGTTTTCACTACTTGAGAGAATGTCTTTTTTTTTTTTTTTTTAAGATGTATTTATTTCTGCATACAGAACTGGGGGACAGGCTAGAGGTGCAGGGGTGGTGAGCGGATTCACCAGGGACAGAGTAGGAGTAGAACAGGCAGATCGACTGAAATACACTGCTGAGGGGAGCAGCCGGTGGGTCAGGAGAGGTCTGCCACACCATGTGGGTCACTCCCCTGGAGGGGATGGAACTCATACTGAAGCAGCTGCAGCTTTAACCGGTTGTGCCACTGGGGAGGGTCCTTGAGGCAATGTCTTACCTTCTTTTGTGCATCATATTTTGACTCCCAGATAGAATCAGTCCTTCTACCCAGACCTCTCCCCTGAGCTCCAGAATGTCACTGCCAATGTTCCGCTTTGCAAGGAGTCTACCTGGGGCCCTCAGGTATCTCTAACTGAAAGACCCTAAGCAGGACCTGGCTTCCCCTGAAACCAGTCCTGCCCTAACCTGCACCTGTCAGTGCCTTTTCCCTCTCTCACAATTCTGGAAATGAGCAAGATCACCCAGACGAGAGCAACAGCTCTTCCCTCAGTGCTTGCTGTGCTGAAGGAACTGGCCGGTGCCCCTGTGTTTGGCAGAGACTCATAGGCAGGCAGGGAGTGGCAAACCTTTATAGTGGAAGAGCAGAGGCTTCAGCGGAGGCCCCCAGGTCTGGGGCGGCTGGAGGCCGATTCACTGGTGGTGGAACAGTTGTGATTTAGTTTTCTTTGGTCCATCTTCAGTAGGCCGCAGGACAACACAGGAAGTTATCAGTTACCTGCTAAGTCCTGACCTTGGGGGCTGATGCTATGGGGGAGGTTTGGGGCACCTTGGGCTGCTTGCTGCTGGTGGGAGGTCAGAGTTCGAGCTGATGTGTGGTCTGGCATTGCGAGCCTGTATATTCGCACCCTCCCAAATATAGTTAGAACCCAACTCCCCACCCCATGCGCCCCCACCAGTGTCCTGAGCACTATCACCTCTAATCTTGGGGTGACAAAAGGAGTCCCAGCTGGTTTTTACATTGTCTATCCTGGCCTCCTCCCAACCTCGTGGAAACATGGCTTAGGGGAATCCTAAAAGGCAACGGGCTCAAGGAGACCCTCCCCACCCTACCCCCCAAAAGAACCCAAGTTCCTCACCATGGTCCACAGAGGCAGGTCTTTTCTGTTCGGCCTGCTCACCTCTTCCAGCTCACCTGGAACACCTCCC